ATTCTGATGTCAAAAGCAACTATTAAATGTACATGTAATAAATTAATTTTATTTAGAAAAACATGATGATAAAATTCAAGTGTCAAATTATTATAAGCACTTGTGATCAACAGCTTGTAATCATATGAAACATCTAAGAAAGCTGAAAGAGATTTAATATCATTACAACAACAGCAGTAACAATCATCAACATTTGCTACAGTAACATCTTCATCTCAATTACACGCACCATGAATATAAGTTGTTGCTGTCTCATTTACTGCCATGTAAACAACATCTCTCAGCAATTCTTTAGCATAATTCAATCAAACTATATACTTAGATCATACCAAAAATAGTGACGAAGGTACTTTAGTTCTTTAAAAAAAAAGCTTTAAAAAACTTTCTTTCTATATTGTTCGATAGAGAAAAGAATGCTCTATATTTTTCTATGTTATTTGATCATACTTCAACTAATATCATAATGATAAACTTTCGATAAGACTTGTTTTACTATGATATTTACCTGATAGTACCAGTGTCTATTCACTATATATTTTGTTGGATTAATTTTGATACAAACAAGATAGAGAAATGCGATTTCGATCGTTCGAAAGAGGAGATACACATACATCGAGTCATATATTATAGTTTTTTTTTTTTTTTGACGTGACTTTTTGAAGGTTTTCAATCAGCCTTTTTAAAAATAAACCTACTCGTAAGATGTTTACAATGAAGTCTCAATTGTCATGTGTGTATTCAAACCGTCGATGGAAGATCTACAAAACTGTACAAGGTTCAGAGATTTAGAAGTAATAGGTATCCTAGTCGAAGTTTTGAGTGATTTTTCTTGCAGTTTCTGTAAAAGAATTTTTACTGTTTCCTTTTTGATAAGAAACCATTTTTCTCACACTTAGAAAACTGATTAAACAGACAGCAGATCATATACTAGGAAAACGTATAATACACGATTTGGTGCATTTTGATCTTCTCTTTCGAATGATAAAAACCATATTTCTCTATCTTGTTTGCATCAACATGAATCCAACAAAATATACGCTGAATAGGCACTAGTACTATCACGCATATATCATAGTAAAACAAGTCTTATCGAAAATTTATCATTATGACATTAGTGGAAGTAAGATCAAATAACATTGAAAAATAGAGCATTCTTTTCTCTATCAGACTATATAGAAAGAAAGTTTCTTAAAGCTTTTTATAAAGAATTAAAGCACCTCCGTCACTATTTTTGATATGACCTACGTAAGTATAATATTAATTAGCAACACGAAAACAACCGACAGTCTAATATCTAAAATGTATGCTTGCATTTATATTGAGCAATTTTGGAGTGCCTTAAAGCACTTTGAAGTGGCTTAAAGTAGTCTGAAGTGACTCAACGTACTCAGAGTAGCTTTAGCTACTTCAAATTACATGCCAAGTAATTTAACTTCGTTTCAAATACTTTAAAGTAGTGCAAAATAACTTCAAGTACAAAAATGCGTCGTTTGTCCCTAGCAAAAATGTCACACAGAAATAGGACGTATGCAGAACGAACATCAATAAATAAAAAAGAACTATACTGATAAAGAAAAAAAAAGAGAAAAGGAAATATAATAATAAAGATAAAGTGTATTTATTCTTTTTCGTTCTATTCAACGTGTAAAACGTGCAAAACTCCGTTCAATAGCAGTCAAGAGTCGAAGACAAGAAAAAGAAGTAAGGTAACCCCAATGGTGTGAGTATCGTTGTTTAACAAATTGCCGTTTCAGCTAGTGCAACGATGACAAAGCTTCGTAACGAATCGATGTGATGCTACTCATATTTTCTGAATGCAGATGAAATAGTATGTACGCTGAGTCCGATGACTCATCGAATCAATAGCAAAAAATGTACTTTATGGGGACGCCACGTATCTAGATACTTTTTCGAGAAATGTAAAGGTCATGGTTTTAACTCATGAAGTGATTGATACATTTTGTTCAAGTCAGATTTGCTAGCCCAACTCTGGTTTACGAGATGCTTGTTGATATGTGGCAATAAGCACATGTCAATGGCTACATTAAGCCAATAGAAGTTTAACAGTGAAAAGAGACATAGAAGATGTTCCGTAATAACTGACGATAAATTGTTTTCGATATTTTTTACACTTTTTGTTGACCTAGAGAGTTGAAATTTTTATCACATATACATCTAATCATCATCTTCAATTTCTGAAAGTTTCAGCTTTCTGGCTAAAGCTAGTAGCGAAATGAATCGACAATATTGAAATACATAAATTTTCATATTGAATATTGCAAGGTAGTTCTTTGGGTAGTCAACCAAAAAATCACAAAGTATTCAGAAAATTTTCTTTCGTATTCAACTTTGTAGAACGTTTTTCGCTGATCATTTTGGTAAAAAAAGAACTTTTTAAATTTCATTGACAAATGACAATGTTATAGTCAAAATATTTATCGTAAAAACAGAAGATGTCAGAGTTTTTTTTATATGAATATCGTATACAATGTTTAATCGAGATTTATTCATCCTATTCGCTTGTATCTAAGAAACCGACTATAGGGTTTTGTAGAACAAAGCTTTCTCTACAAAACCTACTATGTCATATTTCTCCAGGATATAGCCATTTTGAGATATGTGAATTTACTTTTACTTATATTTTACAGTGTTTAGTATTTCGTTTATAACATTGTCATTTCTCAATGAAATTCGAATTTTTTTTACCAAAATGATCCACGGAAAAAAATTTTCTGAAAGTCTTGTGATTTTTTGGTTGACTACTCACGGAACTACCTTGGACTATTCTCAGAGTAAGAAATATTAAAAAATTATTTTCGAAAATTTATGTTTTTCAGTTTTATTGATGCATTTCAGCACTAGTTTTAGCTAGAAAGCTGAAACCTTCATAAATAAAACATCTTCATTAGATATATACGCGATACAATTCTTAGCTCTCTACGTCAAGAAAAAGTATGAAAAATATTATTAACAATTTATCGTCAGTTATTATGGAGCATCCTTTAGAAGCAGAATTCGATCAAGGAAGCCAAAGAATGAAAAAAAATGGTTATTTTTACATCAAAATAATGAAATTCTTCTACCAAGAAATGATAAAGATAATGAAAAAAAAACATCGAATTTCTACCTATACAATGGATACTTTGATAGATTTCTATATTGTTCTTACTCATCTGAAACTGGTCGATTCTATTGAGTTCCTTGCAATTAGATTCCGATCTTCAATCTTAATACGTCCTTATTTGAAAGACTCTACATATATCCCCTTAATTTCTACTTAAGATTGTCTAAATCATACAACAAGAATGACAGGATTTTTGTAGTTATCTTTTCGAGTACAGATATTTTCCTTTGAAATTTAAAAGCTTGAACTTCAGCTGACATGTGAGAAACGCATTGCAGCCTACCTTACTTTTCTTGATCAAAGTGAAGTAACCTTCTTTGTGTAGAGCTAATTCGTGTAAGGACATCGCATTCATAATGAACTATTACACAGTCTTTTCTTTCTCTCTCGCTCTCACACATTCTTGTAGACACTAGCCCATTTTTATCGCCTCTCTCTTATGTTGCATGAGAAAAAAAAACAGTTAGAACTATTCTTTGATTCTAATGGTGTTTATGAGCCCAGTGCTTCTATTCGAGAGATTCATCGTTGAATTAAGACTGACCACTAGTTTACATTATATCTAAAAACCTTTCAAACTGGAGCAAACTATGTAATCGATAGCGACTGTACGTAGAATGATTGCAGTATCAATATATCTAGAGACAATAAAATAGTATATCAGTCGATGTTACATCGAAAATCACTATCATTAATAGGCTGTACAGATATGCATTATTTTGTTAGATTGAAATTCGATGACTTACTCACAAAAAACTTTGAAAATGATAGAAAAAACTATTCAATCTGTTCTGGAATGTACCTGAGATCATATCAATATAACACGAATTATGAACTGAATTTTGTAAGGTGTTCTCTTTATATGCTTTCAATATTGCGTTCTATAGGCAACATCATAAAAATCGATTTCTCTTATGCTCTCGGTGGATCACAGCCAGAAAATCGATCTATTTTTCTCTCGTGCTTTCTAACATGATGGAAAACTGACCAGAATCATGAAATTACTGTGATTCCTTAAAAGCCATCTTAATTATTAAATGTATTTGTTGAGTTGATCAAAAAATAATCATTTAGATAAAATCAGTTCGAGTTTTTTACTTCCTGGAGAATGTCAGTTCAGATTTTGAGTATACTAATATTTTTATTGATATGTATATTAGTTATTGATAATATTCGTCATTAGACTTAACCAATGGATAACTACAGATGTAGAATTCGAATCTACTGTCAGATTTTCATTCTTGTAATACTATTCTCATAATTTATTAACCGATTTTTTTTTTTAAATATTTTTCGTAAAACTTAGGATAGGACTCATAGGTTATTGCACGTCATGCGATATTTATGAGTACTATGAATCGCAGATAAGTAGATATCGCTCTGCATCAGGATGCGAAAAAACGTTGGAAAGAGCAATTTTATGGATTTGAGTAAGTCATGAACTGGGAGCGACTTTTTTAATCTTCAACGTTATCTGAGATTTTTTGAGTGTTGCTATTTCTCTTCTGATAGTTTTTCGGACGTTGGTTTGTGATATCAAGTACATTGTCACGTTTAGTCTTAGAAAACTCAAGTTAATAATAAAATCATATTGTGGGAAATTTAGTGGAGAAAAAATACTGTAACTACTTATGTTTATAATACTAGTATCAGAAAAATCAATAGTCTAATTTCAAACTCAGATTTCCTCACTATGATTTCTCTTTAGTCATATTTTAAGAAAAATGTTATAAATTCTTATGTTCATTTTGCTCACTAGTTAAACAGTTCAGCATTGGTAGTCGATGAGGTCATTTAAAGTTTTGATTATTCAATTGAACTAATTTTTCGAGTTTTACACTATTGATTGCTGTTAATTTTCTAGATTTTGAGCACGATGCCCGAAACCATTCTTGTAACCGGTGCTAATTCCTTCATTGGTGGCTGGATTATCAAATATCTTCTCGATAAAGGTTACAATATTCGTGGAACAATTCGATCAAAAGCCAAAGAGTCTCGAATTCTTGATGGAATTCCGAACGATCAGCAATGTCGAATTTCATTCGTATATATTAATGATATCACGACTGATTCGTTTGATGAAGCTGTTCAAGGCGTTGATGGTATAATTCATGTTGCTTCACCAGTGCAGTTGGCACTTACGGATCCAGAAAAAGATTTTCTCTTACCAGCAATTAATGGAACTATGGGAGTTCTACAAGCTGCTCATAAATACAATCAAAATCATCTTGCTAAAATTAAAAGAATCGTAATTACATCGTCATTTGCTGCAGTTTTCGATCCAAACAAAGGAGTTCAACGTGACTATTCCTACACTGAAAAAGATTGGTGTCCATTCACTTACGTAGATGGAGTAGCTGCAAAAAATGATCGTGCTACAGTTTATCGAGCATCGAAAACATGTGCCGAACGTGTTGCATGGGACTTTCTTGATAAAGAAAAGCCTTCTTTTACTATTGCAACCATTTGTGCGCCAATGGTATTTGGTCCACGTACCAATGGTTTCAATTCATTGGATGACATGAATAGTTCGAATTCGCTTATCTGGTCACTGATTACAAGTGATAAGCATGCTAAAATGCCAGAAACAAAACTGCCATTTGAAATTGACGTGAGAGATGTGGCTTATACACATGTGGCAGCTTTAGAACGGTTCACTGATACGAGCCAACGGTACATAATAGCAGCAGAAACTTGGAGTTATCAAACAATAGCGGATATCATTCATGAAAGCTTGCTCATCCCAGAAAGCATTAAGAATACAACACCAATTGGTACAAAAAGTGAACAACTGCCGCATTATTGCACACTCGATAGTTCCAAAGCGCAAAATGATTTGGGCGTTACGTACGTTCCATTGAGGAAGACAACCGAAGATTTAATTCTCCAGTTCGTCAAACTAAAGGAAAAACTAGCACATGAATGACTGATGGACATAAATTAGCATCTATTTCTTTACTATTCAAATCTAATTTTCATAATAGAATACTTGTAATTCATAAAAAGTTCGAATGAAATAAAAATATACATGTGTTAGATTATAAGTCGAAGTAAGAGACACTGTCGAAATGATCATATTGTCAATAAAAATAATTTCATGGTGAAATTGTATTGAAAATCTAATCGAACTTTCACTGAATGGAATTCAAGAACTTCTTTATCTTCAAAACGTGGAATTCCATAGTTCTAGCTACACACTACTAGCCATCGCCATTCAACAAATACTGGAATAGAATGAGCGAAGTGAAGGCTTACACAGTCATTCAAATTCCTTTGTCCTATTACCTTGCTGGATCTTATTACGTAAATTAAAAAAACGACAAGTTGTGTGTAATCAATTGAGGAAATAATATCCATGATCAGTGTGAAAACTCATCACTCGTCTTAATTGTAAAATATTTATTTTTTCAAAAGAATGATACAGAACAAAATTTACAGAGCGTTGTTTTTTATAGAGATGATCTAATAGAAGATAAGAACAATTATTTCTTTCCTTATCAATCAAATCTATGTCTGTCGTTATGTTATCAACAGAATCGATGAATTCGTCTCATTCGTTGATGTGTTAGAGTAGGTAGTATTAGCAATCAAGCATTGAAAGGCTTTTTGTCACTGATAAATAACAAAACAATCCTATGGAATGTTATGATTGTATAGAAATTCGTATTAAAATCCATTATTTGATAGTTCTTCACAATATACATAGAATAGATAGGTTCGTGCTTGTATGTGCTAATGTCAACAAGAGAAAAATGATGTCTTGATTGCTTGTTGCCATTCTAATGTTGAATGCAGTCTGATTTGATAATAGCTACAACCATACGATAAATATAAACTGGAGTCTTCCATGCTTGAGACACAGTTGGAAAATTTATTTCTAATAGCATATTCAGGTTCTCGTTATCTGGAGCAGCAGTACAGTCACAATATCTAGACATAAAATAGAAAAAAAGTATATCATTACCTTTCAATGGCATGCTATTAATGAGTACTCTAGTCAGTACTTAACGTAAAAGAAGAGCTGAAAATCATATTAAAATCGATTTTTGTATAATAAACACAAGAAATCGATTGGATATGTCACTTATAGATTAAATTAAAAAAAAATAATAGATTTTGTTCAACGATAATGAACCAACATCGATGCTTTCGATATGTAATCTGGACATTTGATTCAAAGTCTAATCGATTTTAATTTATGGCAATAGTAATTCATTAAAATCTATTTTGTTTAAGGTAATCTAAATAATCGATAATAATCAAGAAATAAAAAAAAAGATATTGAAGTTTCATCGATTATTCTGTTGATTTTGGATTAACACTTAATTGAAATTGTGGGGAAAAAATCATTTTTATTCAATTTCGAATTATTTTAAGCGATTTTTTTAATGATTTCGAAATCAGTTGTAACCAAAAGTAATCAGAACAATCGATGGAATTTCAAGATTCTTAACCTTTTATTTGGATCATAATCGATTCTAAATGAATTTTTTATATCAGGTTTTATAAAAGAACCTCGATGGGTTGCCGATCTTATTCATGTTTGATCGAACCTATTTTGAACGTATCACATTTTCGTCCGATATTGATTAACAGGAGATCTTGAACTATAATGCGCACGATACAGACCACTTGTTTCTAAAAAAAATCATCTACAAAGGTCGTTATCTCATATCACTATCTGGTTAGTCTACTTGCAAAAGCATGTGGACTTCGCCGCAAGTGACACAATTATCTTTTTCTTTCGTTTGTCTTTGTCATCGCACGATTTTTATTTTATTCATCATCCTACACTTATGTCAGGATTAAAGATCGTTCTACTATTGGTTATTCAAAGTCACAGCGTTGCTCTTAATGATATAAGAATATTTGATAAATGTTGTTCCTCAACATTCATTAGACCTCATAATGTTCGTATTCAACACATGGACGTGAATACCCATCCGGATATCGTCATTGATACTCACACACCACATTTCTCATGGCAATTAGCTAATGAATATGATGATGGTGGACATTTGGTCAGAGGAATACAGCAAGTGGGTTATCACATTCTGGTGCACGATGCCGTCACTAGTCAACTGATGTGGAACAGTGACTACGTAAGTTCTTCGTCCTGTTCACATATTCTCTATGCAGGTGCACGATTCACTTCTGATACGCGCTACACAGTGACGATCAGATACTACACAACAGAACATGAAAGTCAATGGTACACGGCGAATTTTCGTACTGCACTCTTTTCACTCAACGACTGGACGGGTCAATGGATTGGTAGTGATGAAATTAACATGAATCAGTTACGTACTGTTGTCAATCTAAAATCGATCACAATTCAGTCTGCTACTGTTTTCATTAGTGGTATTGGTTATTATCAGTTGTATATTGAAGGTCAATTAATTGATCCGTCACGACGCCTAGATGTTGGTTGGACTACATACCAACAACGTACACTCTATGCTTCGTATGATCTCATTAAAGTAATAAACACTACTTCACAACAGATTGGTATTGGGATCGTGTTGGGACAAGGTTGGTACAATCGACAACAATGGGCTATTTCGCTTGGTGCACACACTGTACTCGCTGAGAAATATGGTCCACCTCGTGCATTGATGCAATTGAATATTCAGTATGTCGATGGTTCTGTTCAGTCGATTGTCACCGATTCTTCATGGCTAGGCCGAGAAGGCGAGCATCGCTTTGATTCTGTGTACATGGGCACGACAATGGATCTTCGAGCAACACTTCCTTGTTGGTCATGTGTCAATTTCACTAAGTCCAACTCATTGTGGATTAATGCTTCTACATTGTCATCGCCGGTAAATTTCACAGCTGGTGGTCAATTCTCATTGCAAACTATGGATCCTATTCGTATCGGTCCTGATGCATTGCATATTGCAACTTCAGGTCACTCGGATCTGCTCGCAGGAGTTCAGGGTGCTAGTCTTACCGATGGCGGTGTACTCAAGCCTATCTCCCAAGATTTCGTCAATGGTCAAGTATTCGATCTTGGTCAAAATTTCGCCGGTTGGTGTAAATTATCCTCATTGAATGCAACCAAATCCACTGCCATTCAATTGCGTTATGCAGAACTACGATACTCACGGGGTGAAAATGGCATTGATTTTGCCGGATTGTATTATGAAAATTTGGATAGTATTGCTGTGATGGATACAGTAATCTTGAATGGAACAGGCAATGAAACGTTCGAGCCTCTGTTTACTAGTCATGGTTTTCGCTATTTATTAGTGAATGGTTATAACAACATCAATCAGAATGATGTTGAATGTTACAATGCTCATAGCGAGACAACATTGATCGGTAATTTTAGTAGTAGTAGTATTGTTTTGAACCAGATTCAGCATAATATTCTCTGGTCTCAGCTAAGCAATGCCATGTCATTACCCAATGGTTGTCCTCAGCGAAATGATCGAACAGGATGGATGGGCGATGCCGGACTCAGTGTCGACGAAGCATTGTATAATTTTGATTATGTCAATTTCTATTTGAATTTTCTGACTATGATCAAGGACAATCAAACGCCTGATGGCGCTGTCAGTGATACGGTACCATTCATGACAGGTTTCATTCCTGCTGATCCAAACTGGGGCACAGCGTATGTGATCATTACTTGGTATTTGTATGAACATACAGGTGATGTCACCATCATTGAAAAATATTATACAGGTATTCAAGCGTGGATCGATTTTTTGATTAGTGAGTACAAAAAAAGTGGATTGGCAAACATATATTATCATTGGGGTGATTGGGCACCAGTGCAACAAGTCAAAAATAATTCACTGGTATCCTCTTATGCCTTTCTACACGATGTGTACACATTCATCAGTATGAGTGAATTATTGAATCGAACCGATAATGTCCAGAAGTATTCACAAGTATATCAACAGTTGACTGAAGAATGGCATCATGTTTTCTATAATTCAACGGTCAATGGGTATGCGGATGGAAGTCAATCGGCAAACGTATTGTCCTTGGCTTTATCCAATGTTGTACCCGAATCACTTCGTCCTACTGTACTCAATTCATTGGTCAACAGTATTGTCAACATCGATTATTTTACTGGAGGTATTATCAGTGTAGCAGCCGTGTATCCTCTTCTCTCCAAGGAAGGATATCATGATCTTGCTTTGAGACTTGCTCTATCGACCTCCTATCCATCCTATGGCTACATGTTTAACAATCCTATTCAAAATGCTACAACTACATGGGAACAATGGAATAGTTTGCCGACGAAAGCCAGGTCATCGTTGAATCATCATATGTTTAACAGTATTGGTGCATGGTTCTATCGATATTTGGCAGGTATTGAGTTGAATGCATTGAACACAATCACTATTCATCCAAGAATGTTCTATACTGCTGACCTCTTGAACTACATCGAAGCAGAAGTAGTGACCATCAAGGGAAAAGTTCGAGTGCAATGGACGCGAATATCAGTTGACTCCATGGTATTGTCAGTAGCCATACCAAACAATATGAATGCAAATGTCTTATTTGACCCATTGATCAAGAAAGGTCAATGTCTGAAACTCATGTGTGATGGTGAAATATTTTCGATGCGACAATATCAAAATGATGAATTGCGATTGATTACAGATGTGCGTGGAGTTAGTGATTTGACTGAAAATCACATAACAGGTACTATCTCAGTGAGAGTAAAATCGGGTGAATACATGTTTACTGCATACTGGCAATGACATATAAGAACGGAAGATTGCCACTGATTGATATCAACAATCACAATTTTTTTTTCAACGAAATATTGTCTTATTCTGAAACTTGTAAAAGAAGAATCGGGATGAGAAAATGTTCATAATTAAACTAATAAATAATGCTGCATTATACATTTGCATCTCTTAGGAATGAGTGTGAGTGAATGAAGTCAGGAGAATTGGTGTCATTCTATCTATCCAGTTTCTTCTTGGATATTTTGCACCGATATTTTCTGTTTTCTAGAACATTGTCAAGTGCGGGATACGATGTGCTTGACTCACATTTTGTAACAACGAATTGTGTTGCATGAATTTAAGAGAACGAATTTCATGAAACTTTCGAAATTTTCTACGTTTTTTTTTTGGCAGATACAATACGGTTCAGATAGCAATTATTTCTTATTTTAAATGCGAGTTGAACTATATATAGACTTATAACTTGAAGAGTAACAGTGATGCCTCCATAGAAAGCTAAAATTCTAGAGATAATATAGAGAAATTTTTTTCGTATTTTATATGTGTATGAACACTGAGTAGGAGAACATTGCTCATAGAATGCTGAATACGATACATTGATTTGCCATTCTTCCATAAACAGTTCATCGAGAAGAGTTTGCATTGAAATATTGGTCGAAAAGCGACTCGATAATGATGAATTCATTGCATTAATAGTGAGAGTGAACGATCTTGGATTAGTTGTATTTCCATAATATTTCATTAAATCAATGCACATTTGATCGTAGAAACATTCAAGAGTTGATCTCAATACTATTTCAACTGTTGAACAGCCGACATTCCATCCTGGTACAATAAAATAGATAATATTGGAGTAAGAATCGAAAATCCCGCTTGTTTCAATACAATCACTTCGAGTTCCCCATGAGCATTCATCTTTCGTTACAACAGGATATGTTGTAAATTGTGGAACTAATGTTCCCAATATATACTAATTCAAAAAATAAGCGGATATAAACGCATTACCATTGTTCATATCACGTATCAGTTGAAAAACATGAGCAAAGTCAGTTATAATGTGTTTTTTAAATGAAGTCGTTATTATATTCATTTGGATATGAAATTCATATTCATTTGGATATGAAATTCATATTCATTAATTATCTGTGGGATGAAAAATGACTCGTCAAGAAATTAATTAATTTTTATAATCTTATTTATTTTGTTCTGTTAACAAGATCAAAGAAGACTTCGTTGATACGATTTGCTCAATTTTTGGACTTCAACTATTACAATTCGATCGATTTCGAGTTGCAATCTAATGAAAGGATTGTTCTGCCTGAGAAGTATTGTTGGTATATCTATTTTTCTTAATTTAGGTTCGCAAATATTGAAATATCTTCATTTTCTGGAAAATCATTCTAAAGAAAATTATCCCAAGAATAAAGTACTATGCCGATGAAATAAAAGGATACCTAACAAATAATTTTCTATGATTGACTCACCATTGGTAACATTATTCTGAACTTGAGTCGACACTGAACGATTCAAATGTGTCATACGTTTGAGCATAGTAAATCTTTTGACCAAGAAAATACTGAGTCTACCGAACAATCTCACGATTTGTTGTAATAATTTAAATTGCACTACTTTTTTTCTGTATATGCAAATATAGTATTGTGGTTGACATTTTTGAAAAAAGTTATCATAAAAAGCAAATGAATTCCATTGTTTTATGATTTCATCAAAAATCACTTGTACACAATCATTCATTGAGAAACGACTGGATAATGTTCCGTTAGGTGCATTGATCATTGGAAAAGTTTCACCACTTGCTTGATTGAAAGTATTTCGTAAATATTCAACACAACTGATATTATACCAGCATTTGAACGATGATTTAAGTGCAATTTGTACAATAAAACATGCACCGACTAATCCGTTGTTCCTAGAAAATACAGCATGTTCGATGTATTCACTGGTGGCAAAACAGTCAATATGATTGAAACATGTGCACGTAATATGATCAGTTGTAATTCTATTTATACTTAATGGACTAACTACTACAGGATCAATACCATATTCTTCTAATCGATTAAAAAACTTTTTCACCAATAAGGCATTTATCATCATGCCGGTAATATATTGATTCGCATGACTCATTGTATTGACCAATGATATAGTATAAAGCAATTCGGTTCGCATTGATTCAAGAAAAGAATAAATAATTGAATCTGTTTGAGATTTGAATAGTGATTATGATAAAACGTTATCATTGATGAATTCTGTTGAATTAAAACGACGCATTATAGCATTGCGGCTTGTCCAAACGTAACGCCGTTACGTTTTTGACACACTGTTCTTCAATTAACTCGGAAGGTTTAACAGCTAGAAAGTTCATTCAAACGCCATTCGACACAGCTTATCAAACTCTATTTNAAAAGATGATAAAATAATTTCTTTTGGTGAATGGATACGACGAAGAAAAGATCGATGTATTATTGTTGAAATGATTACCGATATAGGCAAACATGAAGCTTTCTTTTATCAGGAATTGAATGGTCATGATCATATTATTCGAACATTTGGTTCTATTGAAAATAATTTTAATCAAATAATATACGTGCAAGAATATGCACAACAAAATGATTTATCTAGATTATTATTTGATACTCATTTATCACAAATAGTATTAATTGAAATATTTTTATAGATTGCTAATGCAATGAGTTTTATTGCTAGTAAATCAATTGTACATGGTGATTTAGGTTGTCGAAATGTTCTTGTATTTAAATTAGATCCAAATCAACCAAAAAATAATTTAGTTAAAATAACTGACTTTGGTCTTGCACGTTCACTTAAGATTTCATCTATATCGAAGAATTATTCTATTATTCCAAAAAGATATTGTGCATTAGAAATACTTCGAAATAATGATCAATCAAGTTATACAGAAAAATCAGATGTTTATTCAATGGGTGTTTTAATGTGGGAAGCGTTATCAAATAGTGAAATTCCTTATTCATATATTGCTGATGATAATCGAGTAGTACAAGTAAAATTAGATAGTGAAAGATTAAATCGACCACCTATTTGTGATCGTCAACTTTGGTCTCTTATGGAATCTTGTTGGGAAAATGATCGAGAATGGCGACCAACTTTTGAAGATATCAAAGATATATTATCTGTCATTAAACCTTCTGAAGTCTCAGATGTTCCAACATCTATTTTATCATACGAGTAAGAAATTTGTCGTTATTTTGAATTTAAGAGGTTGCTAGTAATTAGTATCTATATATTTTTCTTTTCGACTCATATTCATTCTATGGTAACTACTTAGAATATTTCGAAAATGATAAAACATTTGATCATAATCTAATTCAAAAAACGATTAAATATTTTCTTGAGATATTTCTCTTTTAAGCGGACTGAATCCTTTGTTTTTTTTAAGACCACCGATAGGCTACACTTTTAAACTTAATGTTGATGTGACAAGAAACGGTTTATTAGGTGGAAGATTTCGCAAAATCTATGAAGCACAATGGATATCAAGCAGGCAAGAATCAATTGTTTTGATTGAAATGGATAAAGCACCAACAAAATACGAAGTATCATGCTACACAGACTTCAATAATTGTCGACATCTAATAAACACATTCGGATTTGTTGAAAATAATTTTGGATCGATTATGTTACTACAAGAACGAGCACCACACGGTCATCTTCAAGAATTATTAAAAAACAATACATTCAAACCATCATCAATGGTACTCATTGATATTTTTTTACAGATTATTGATGCAATGATTTACATCATTAGCAAAGGCATGATACATGGTGATTTACGTTGTTCGAATGTTCTTGTCTTTCAAATGAATTCATCTAAACCTGAAGAAAATTTGATTAAACTAACGAACTTTGCTTTCGCACGACCGAATGAACCATCATTATCAGATGATAGACGAGTAACTATTCCAGTGGAATATTGTGCACCTGAAATTCTTCGAAGTGCAGGTCGATTAAATTATTCTGAATTATCCGATGTTTATTCCATGGGAGTATTAATGTGGGAAGCTTGTTCACAAGGAAGACTTCCTTATGACTATTTAATATCTAACAAAGAAGTTCGACAGAAAAAGTTAAATGGTGAGAAATTACCTAGACCATGGATATTTGATAGACAAATCTGGCCTATTATTAAAAGTTGTTGGTATAATGAGCCACAATTACGAGACGATTTTAAAGTTATAAAAACACAACTTTCTAGTATCAATATTGAGTACGTAAATTGAGTGTAAACAATTAAACTAAGACAATAAATTATTTTTATTTTCGAGGAGGTCACAATTTCAATATGAACTAAATGTTGATGTCAAAATAACCAATCAATTGCAAAGTAGACATGGACAAATATTTTATAACGCAGAATGGATAAGAAAGAAAAAAACACCGATTATATTAATTGTATTAAGTACAGAAACAGCAGAACATGAAGCTTCATTTTATATTGAACTTAGTTCTTATAAATACATTATTCATACTTTTGGTTTAGTAAAAAATGATCTTCGATCGACAATGTTAATACAAGAACGTGCTCCATTTGGTAATCTACTAACATTATTACAAAGTCAACGTTTTAAACCATCATCAAAGGTACTCATTACTATTTTCTCACAAGTTGCTGATGCTATGATTTATATTATTAATCAAGATATTATACATGGTGATTTACGTTGTGCCAATGTTTTAGTCTTTCAAATGGATCCATTTGAAGCAAAAGAAAATCTAGTTAAACTAACAAATTTTTCTCTAACTTGTACAAATGATCCATCGTGTAAAAACAATAGACAGACATCTATTTCAATTCGATATGCTGCACCAGAGATTGTCGAAAGTGCAGGTCAATCAAATTATTCTGATTTATCTGATGTTTATTCAATGGGTGTTTTAATGTGGGAAGCTTGCTCACAAGGAGAAGTATCATATGGAAATGATACAAGTGATAATGATATTCAACGACGAAAGTTGAATGGTGAAAAATTACCAATGCCAAAGGAATGTGATAGACAAATATGGGATATTATAGAAGATTGTTGGTATAATGAGCCACAATTACGATACAATTTTAATGACATGAAGAAGCGTTTGTCTGATTTTAACGATGAGTAAGTGAAATCAATTTGTAACAATAATATAACATATAATACAATATCGAAAATAAGTTAGATTTGATACATAGTATGATGGGAACATAAAACAGGAGGCAACTATTGAATTGTTATCAAAGACTTCATATATAAAAGAGAAAAACAAAACTTTGCTGTATAAAGTTTTTGTTGTATAGTTTTAGTTTCCATTTGTTTTATTTTTGGATACAAGAATCTTTCGGCATTTTGATTTCGTAAAAATTTAAATATTATATTTATTTTCAAGGCTATTAGAAACTTATAAGTATCAATTGAACGTTAATGTCAGACAGAAGAATCCACTCAATGGTCATTTTGGTAGATTTTATGAGGCGGATTGGATACCAAAAAGAAAACCATCAATTATTTTAATAATTATGAATAAACAAACAGCAGAACGTGAAGCTTCATGGTATTTGACGCTCAACTCTCATTCTCATATTATACATACTTTTGGTTTCGTTAAAAATAATGATCGATTGCGTATGTTACTGCAAGAACGTGCTACACATGGCAATCTTCAAATATTATTACAAAATAAACGTTTCGAACCATCAACTGAAGTTCTCATTGGAATATTCTTACAGATTCTGGATGCCATGATTTACATAGGTAGCCAAGATGTTGTACTAAGTAATTTATGTTGTTCAAATGTTCTCGTCTTTCGAATGGAACCCATAAATTCATCAGCAAATCTGGTTAAACTAACTAATTTTAGTATGGCACGTAGAAAAAATTCTTCATATGCAGATAACATACAAACAGCCATTTCAGTACGATATTGTGCTCCTGAAATTCTCAAGAGCACAGATCAATCAAATTATTCTGAAGCATCCGATGTATATTCATTTGGTGTTTTAATGTGGGAAGCTTGTTCACAAGGAAAAGTACCTTATGGAAGAGATACAAGTGATGATAATATTCGACAAAGAAGACTAAATGATGAGCAATTATCACCACCAAATCCTTGTAACAATCAACTATGGACTATAATAGAATTTTGCTTGTATAGGACATCGGAAATGCGTGACACTATGGAATAGATTCAGTCGAAGCTTTTAGAAATTCCAGTATGTGTAAAAGCATTTGTTTCATTTATTTATATTTTATATAGAAGAAATTATATCCACCAAAATCGCCTCCTGGCATTTCTGAGTATATGAACTGTTTGTTTTTCAATATATATCATATCATTTCTTTCTATTTTTTGAATAGACCAATTCTTCTTGTTCAATGTAAAAATTGTCACAAAGAATTTCCCTGGAATCAACTAGATATACATGAAGTATAATAGAAATAAGTAGTTTCATCAATTTTGAAATTCTTTTATAGCGATCATGCCTACCACCTGTACCTGTACGTAAAAGACCGTCCGATGAACCCAGGTAATTGAACTATTTTTTTTATCATTCCTATAATAAATGTTTTCATGAAACACTTGTTTTAGTATATGGGAACGACTTTGTTCATGCTTATCTTGGTTTCACAAAAGTAAATGATGTTCTTAGAACAAAACGATCGACATAGCTTGATACGAAGATCATGTACTATGAATTATTAAATTTTTGTTTTTGACATTGTGAGTATTCAGTTAAATTAAAGAAATAAAAATTATTTTATTCAATTCAAGTTTTCCCATTCAGGTTTTTACTTGTTTCAAGCTTTAAAAAAAACAAACCAATAAGTCAACTTAGTCTAATAAATTGAAATTTTTTCCATTTTGGTTTCGATTTTGAGATCAAATGATCTTATAAGAGGATCTATCCAACTGACAACTTTCATTTTAGCTCTTAGATTAGATTGTCAGTCTGTTTGAGATAAACAACATATATAAAGCATTGTTTTGCACTAATTCTTCTTCTAGATGACATGTTTACGAGAGAAAAATGTCCAACAGCAGATAAATACGAGTTTATAAATAAGGTGTCCATGGACTATAACATGAAGTACAGCATTTGTAGTTATTCGAATATACTAGAGGATTACGATTCATAGAACGTTGTGTGGCACGATTGTATTGTTTTTTGAAAATCAAGTTGATGTTTTCACGCCTAGTGCTTCATATTAAATATAAGTGTAGAAAGATCAATAGGTTTTGTAATTATCGATCTCCAAACTATCATTTTGATTCAGTCGTATATTTGTAAGTTGAAAATCAAATGAACAATTAAATATGTTGTCAATCTGGTTTTCTGTTGAAGGAACCCTATGATACAGATCATCTATTCTGTGATCTGATGGAACTGATCGAATAATTTGAAAATATATGAGATTATATCCTTGTTGAATATCTAATTCAAATGTTGAATTTCGAAGTTTTGTATTATTGAAGTGAGACGTTTTCAAATCAAATATGTAATAATAAGCAAGGATGACCGTTTCTATAACGATTGATATTTTTTCAGAAGATACATTTTCAATCGGAACATATTATCTCAATATTCAACGAAAAGACAAACGATTTTAAAATAATTTGTGAAATATTTTCTCATGAGAATTTTTATCAATTTCCATCACATGGAATTATACTCAAAAAAGAGACCAGGATGATAGTATATGATGCTAAAAGAGATTATCGAAAGAAAATGACGATGACAAACCATATCATGATAGCATTCTATTTCTCTTCGTATTTAAAAAAAAGACGTGATAATATTTGGCAGCTAGACTCGTGGATACACAAAGGTTGAACTATAGCATGAAGGCAAATATTCAATTAACTATTTGCAATGAAACTATAGTAATTACATTTTTCGAGAGATTTCGATTTGGATGTTTCAGAGAAAAAAAAGCAGGATAGCATGAAGAAATAAACGATGATAGATTATAGAAAATGATTTGAAGATTCAAAGTGCATTGCTAGATTGATTCTTGTAGTTATAGCCGAAACGCATTACTGTCTTGCTACAAAACGTATAAGAAAAGTGGTTATTAAACGAATGACGTAAGCAACAAGGGGAAGACATGTGCTTTTTCATTCAAGCGTATCTTTGATATCTTTTCATTCTGCAAAGCTACACGTGCATTCAAACGACAACGAATTTGATAATTTACCTGCGTAATCAAATATGTTTTTTTGTATCCCGGCTAGTCTATCATTAAGGTTTTCTATGTTTATTTTTAAAACAATGTCTTTTTTCTTAATAGATATGCTGTGGTGTGGGTCCAGATGGTTGTTGTTTCTGTGGCATTCCGTGCGATTGTTGCGGAGGAACTAGTGTTTTCGATGGAGGGTGAATAATCGACTTCTTAATTTCTCTAAAAGATTAATGTTTTTCTTTTGTTGGTAGTTTAGACCTATTCAAAGTCAACCAGCAGGATATTACTAATTGTGACAATTCAAACTGACTATTTTTTTTTCTTTTTTCCTCATTCACATTGAATGTAACCATGTAATCTATGTGATTGCGCTGCCTATGAAACAATTGAAATAGACAAAAAACATTTATTGAAAAGTGTATTGTAACATCTTTTACAATAAAGACTATCTATTTCAGCTAGTTTTGATCAATTCAAATCAACAACGAGATCAACTGAAAAGATGCGTTTCGAAAGGCATGTGATATAATGCATTGAACATTGTAAAATATATTGTTTCTCGAACGATTTCAATCTTAATAAACAACGGAATATTAGCATATTCGCCTTGTCGATGTGGTAGATCTTAAGTTGCCGATTGGAAATTGTTGAGAATTGTCTTGCTAAAAGGGTTGAATTATGAAAAATATTCGAAAAGCTCAAGTGTTACATCCGCTTGCATATTCAGCAGAGAGTAAACCAAGATTTTTACTCTGATTTATAACACTTTTTATCTCAAAACATGATTCATTAAAAATAATAGAGACGCAGTTGTTGTGAACAGGACTCGCTCAAGTTGGCTTATTTTGAAACATATTGATTTTTGCCAGTCAAAAAGCCCTCAGTAGATATTGTAATTCTAACTCGTATTTTACGCAAATATTTAAGCCTGCAAATGAACTGATTGTATAATTCATAATATTTTTATTCACACGTGTCAGCAGTTCGACAGATGCTAATGATATACACCAGATCTTTTATTTCGATCAAACCTCGAAAACGTAACTAGTCGTTTATTGACATGCTTTGATATGTATGTCGAAGTGATTCATGTTGAAATAGAAATAGAATTCGTTTCCGTTTACTGAAACTTATGTTTTATATGTGCATCAGTAACTGATAGATTTTATGTTCCATAATTTTGCTAAATATTATTCTCGAAGAGATAACATATTACATCGAACACATATTTCAGTGCATCATGAATGATCTACAATCAGAAATGCTTCTATAATACACAGTCGTTTCTCAAGAAACTGACCACACCTATGCAGATTATCTGTACAAGTCTTATTACGAGAGCCGGTAATATTCGTATTTTAAGAGTATCCAAGACATGTGGATCTAATGAGTTAAGCTGTCGACTGACCAATGAAATCGATGAAAAATAAAATCCATGACCTAATTGTATTCCGAATAATTTAGATGTAATGAATGAAACATATACAGAATTATAGATACTCTTACCATGGATACCAATAAGTTGATGATGAAATCTATGTCGAATTAAATTTTTGGCTACTGTACGAGAATAGCCAGGAAAAAGCATAAGTTCTATTGAATTAAGTCCGATTCGAATACCAATGATTGTTTTCATATTAGAATAGTCTAAAGATCAATAAGGACTATCAATTGGGCAATTATATATGATTAGTACACTTGAAATGGTTAGCTCGTACTCTTTTTTACAGTATTCCGTTCAATATTCTGATAAGTTTTTCAAAAATGAATTGCATAATAAACAAACGTCGCGTGAGATAACGGACAGTTCAATGTGGCGATCAATTTTAGGGATGATTTCTATGGATCTATCCTGGAATGTAAGACACAGAAGCAATGCATATGTATCAATAGAAGTCGACATGACAGTAGCCGCAATTTTGTCATCTGCATGGTTTCTTGAATATACCCAATAACCCTCAAGTAAATGATATCGTTTTAAATTAGACTGATAGGAATATCATATCAGCACCCTTTTTTAAGTGAAGAGTAACACGGCTTACAAATAATAGCTCATGTTATTTGTACGATTCAATGTTCATATATAACGAAGTGCTTAGATAGATAATCAAGAATAATGCTAGAGCATAAAAAATATTGACAGAAGAAAATAGGTGGCAATGTTTGTTTTTTTCTGAAAGAAAGGAAGTAGCAATGATCAAGGCTAAAAATGAAGATTTCAAATTTTTCTTTTAATAATTAGAGATAGAACACTTTACTGCACCATGGGTATCTAATTATGCATTCACAATATATGCATCAAGTATGAGTGTACGTAAGATCTTCTCTTCACCTGACTCACTCACCGACACCACAATAATAGTCGTAGTCTCATATTGATTGTGATATCATGCAGTACCTTGCTGGCGTTGTTTGTACGAGAGAAATAAGTGTTTGAATCGAGACATGTGTTTAAAAGTTGTTTGGTGAATTCAGTATTCATACCCATATCGATGGTCAAATTACTAAAACTTCATTTCTTTTTCATCAAGTCATGATGTTTTTGTCGATTTGCACTAGAAAAATCGATTTTGAAAACGAAAATTTTCGATACGGTGAATAGAAAAACACAATGTAGAATAATGAGGAATTCGAGTTGAAGAGTGAACGCTCTCTTTTCACACAGAGATCTTTGATAATCAAGAAACCTTTTTAATTTATTCTCTCTTGAAAGCGAGGAACAATTCTGTCTGCTAAAGATCACGTTTGAATATGTTTCGCATCCATCGAGAAGTTGATAAAGCAATAGTCGCTTGAAAACGATCAGAAGATGATAACCTAGCAATAATATAACGACATCTCTCTTTCTTTCAATGCTACTATATGAAAATGACATCGAACTACTGAATGAAAGTTGCCTCATATGACCGATTATGATCGAAAAATAGAATACATAGATATTTTAGAACCTCAATTTATTTTTGAAATTTATAAGACTGAATCTTGAGAAAAAATAAAAATGCAA